CCCCAGGAGTGCTCCATCTGCCTCAACCCGTTCGACTTCCCCGTCATCACGCGCTGCGCCCATGTCTTCTGCAGGAGGTGCGCGATGAGGGATTGCATGGATGTGTAGCAGCAAGGGAGTGAGGGTGCGTGGGGTTGGGGGGGGATGGGGGTGGGTGCAGGTATGTCAGACATTTGGGGACGACCCTGGGGAGGGGAAGAGTTTTGGATAGGGACGGAGCAAAAATTGGAGCGCTGAGTTGGCGGCGGCCCTCGTCGCCAACACTGTGACAGGGCGCTCCCATGCCCTCCCAAACTGGAGGTGGCGCACGCGGCCGGTTTTGAGATCGGTCAACGCAGGTCAACGCTGAGCCGCTGCGCCACCCCCCCTCCCTCCTCAAAGGTGCATCGAGCGCGTCATCGCCCTGGACAAGCCCACGTGCCCCCTCTGCAGGCGCGGGCTGGACAGCGCCCCTGCCACCTCTCAGACAGTGTTTCGACCGCCGCAGCCTCCTGCCGTCGTCTAACACACGCTTCACAGCATGCTCCCGAACGCGTTGCCGCGCGCTCGCCGTCGTCGTCACATGCACGCGACGAGGTGCTGGCTGCCCAGTCGTCTCGCTCTTAATGCACCACCCCTCTCCCTTGTCACTCCACAGGGCCCCGGTCAAACAGAGGGACCTCATTGACCCGCCGCCACCCCAGCAGCCCAAAGAGGAGCCCGGCGCCGGCGACGCCGGCGCCAGCAGCAGCGGAGCTGGCGGCAGCGGCGGCGGCGGCGGTGGCGGTGGCGGGGACGGGACGGAAGCGGCGGGGACTGTCGAGGGCGCGGCGCGCGGCAGCAGCAAGGTGCTGCTTCTCCTGGAGAAGCTTCGCGCCCTCAGGGTAGGCTGGGGGGGGGCATGGGTGTGAGCGGACGAGGGGCTTTGGGGCGTTCAGTGGCGGCCCACACCTGCCATCACTGCTTGGGAGGCCTCCCTGCTCAGTCATACACCCTTGAAGATGGATGCAGTTGCTTGGTACCACCCTCGTTTCGCTTTGACTGCTTGCCACCGCCGTGTCCGACGTGAATCCATCCCCTCAGCCCGGCCACAAGGCGGTCGTGTTCAGCCAGGTGAGGGCCTGCAGAGGGGGCGCTGTCGTTTTACATCCTGACCGCGAGCAAACCCACGTGCACCTCAACCCATCAAATGCATGCCAACCCCTCACATGCTCGCGCCATTGACCGCTGCGGGCGCGATCACCAGCCACAACACAGCCGACCAAGCGACCATCTGCCGAGCTGCAAGGGCGAGACACGTTGCCTTCTTTGATGGCACATCCAAGCCAACTACATCTACCTCAAGTTTTCGATTAAACACACTGCCAAACACCAACAAACTCGCCCTAGTTCCTGGGGATGATGGACCTGGTGGCAGCTGCCCTGAAGGCAGCTTCCATCCCTTTCGTCCGCCTGGACGGGCGCTGCACCGCCGCGCAGCGCGCCGACATGCTGCGCGCCTTTGGCAGCAAGGCGCAAGGCGCGCCGCGCGTATTCTTGGCGTCACTCAAGGCCGGCGGCGTCGGCATGTGAGCGGCGCGGGCGGCTGGGGGAGGGAGGGCGGGAGGCGCCTGGGTGTGAAAACAAGGGACTGGACGCGGGCCGAGCTTTGGTTGAAGGGGGCTATTTTGTGCTTGGGTGGGGTTTGTCGTCGCTCGAGGGAGGCGCGGTCCGCGCAGCGTCTGTCCAGCTGTCGGGGAACACAGCAGCTCGATGCGCAGCTCTCTGTCATACTCACGCGCAAACAAGGGGTGGACGAACGGGATCGGCGGCCGCGAAGCAGCCCCAGCCCCGGGCCCGTCGCGCGAGTGTGCGTCCCCTCGCGCCCCGCCGCCGCAGGAACCTGACTGCCGCGTCAGAGTGCCACCTGCTGGAGCCACACTGGGTGCGCTGAGCTAGCGCCGCAGCCCCCGCCGCAGCCCGCGCTGCAGCCCGCGCTTGGCCTTCGCAGCACGCTGGGGCCCGTGTGCTGCGGGGTTGAGGCACCAGCGTGTCGGTCGAGTGTGTCGGGGCGGCGCACAAAGGCCATGGGCGGTTCGCCGCAAGCCGATGATGCAGGCGCTAGACCCCCTCCCCTGCTGTGCACTCTGCATTCGCCCCAGAGGGGCTTCCTCCCCCAGCCAACGGCCCACTTGCTTCCGTAAGATGGACGCCCTTTGGCCTGCCCACATTGACACTCAAACACGCTTGCGCATCAACATCCGTGTGCACTATACGGATGAACCACCAGAACCCTGCAGTGGAGGACCAGGCAGCGGACAGGGTGCATCGCCTGGGGCAGCCACATGATGTCACGGTGAGCAAGATTGGGGGGCGGAGGGGGCAGGGGTGGAGAGAGGGGTATGGTTGTGCCGGACAGCTCCGTCGCGCAGCTGGAGAGGGGGAAGGGGCCGCGGTCACGTGATCTGGATTGAACCTTAAGCTAAGCACTGCGCAGCACACACTGTCATGGCACGACCTCCCCCACTCCATCCCCAGCCGTAACCCCACCTCGTGTCCCCGCGTCCGCACCCTGCACCACCCCGCCCCGCCCCACTCCCATAGTCCCCGCACCCCACCCCACTCTACGCACCCCCACTCCCGCCCGCAGGTGTACCGCTATGTCGCGCGGGGCACCATCGAGGAGCGGATGCTGACGCTGCAGGTGCGCCTCTTTTTCAAGAGAACGCAGAGTGCAATGCAGCATGCATGGGGCGGCTGCCAGGTGCGCTGACCGTGCGCCAGTGGTTTCCTGTGGCCGCAGAGGCAGGAGTGTTCATCCTTCTCAATTCGATGACTCGCCAAGGAGCCCGCTAACCACGACCCACCTGCAATCAAGTAGCCTCTACTCCCAAACCCCTTCGAAATCGAAACGCCGCCCGCAGGACCAAAAGCGTGCACTCGCGTCGGCGGCGTTCGATGTGCGCAGGGGCGCCTCGGCCCGCGAGGCGCGAATGGCAGACATTCGGCTGCTGATGCAGCTGTGACTGGCGGGGCCCCCTTGTGCAGCTGTGACTGGCGGGCTTGATGGCTCTCATTGTGGCGGCGAGGCGGGTACGATGGTCCATGAAGCGCATGCGGAAGGTGGTGCGGCTGGAAGGTAGTGTGGTTTTTGTGGCATAAATTGCTGCGAGGGGATGCTTTCAAATGCGCAGGATGGCTGTGCCGTCGCATGACTGGATGCAGGAATCCAAGATGTGAGCAATGTGGTCAGCAACATACCCATGTGCTCACTTGCCGAGCAAGCGCTCAGCGCGCGTTGACCGTGCTCAAATGCATACAGCGACTGTGTTTGAGCTCAAATGTTACAAAGTGTATGCTAGTCCAATTCACCTGCCTCTGCAACACTCATGTGGATTGGCCCTGGCATCATTGGCGTCGGCAAGTGACTGCGCGGTGACGCAGGAGGCGGCACGATTCCGTACAGCATAATGGTATTCCTGATGCCCCCATGCCCCATGTCTTGGCCCATTGATCGCGGTATTGTATCGCCACCATGGCTACCTCAGTGTGCGCGCCCCTGGAAGCGGGCTCAACTTTGGCAGATCTCAGCCACGACTGCCTAGCGAGCCTCGTGCATCTCCTGGATGCCCGCAGTGTGTGCATGCTGCGTGTGTCTGGAATCAAGGCTGTAGACGAGTTCTGGGGAGCCCTGTGCAATCGGGTGCGTGCGGTTCATGTGTTGACATTTCAGGCGTTGGTACGGGACAAGGGCAGGTGCTGAATTTCCTTTTGGATCCCCAGGACTTCTCTGGAACCTCGCCGGCTGCATGGCTGGCCGCGGGCGGGGCCGCGGCGGCATCGTCTCCTCTCGTCGCCGACGCGCTGCTCGCCGCGCCCCAGCCGCGCACCTACCGCGAGCTGTACCCCGAGCTGCTGCGCGCCACCCAGCTCATCGGCATGTGGATCGCCGGCGGCGGCGCGGGACCCAGGGGATGCCTGTATCGCTTCGCATTTGAGGAGGACTGCGTGCGCGTCGACCAGCTGGCACCGGCCAAGTGCTTCCACCGCAGCCCCCCGGTAAAGGAGCTGTTCCGCCTCGGCCCGGGCCACCCCCAGCACACCTTCAGCATCATCGAGGGCGCCGCCGGCGGCGCCGCCAGCAGCTCTTCAAGCCGCAGCTGCCTCGTCCGGGAGCAGCGGCGCGCGCCGCGCCGGGGCAGCAGCGCCGCCGCCGAGGCTGCCGCCGCGGTCGCGGCCGGCGGTGGCCACAGCGCCGCGTCGCTGGGCAGCAGCCCGCCGTCGAGCTTCAACTTTGAGTTGCTCCAATTCATGGCAGGCAACGTGGCCTCCGCCGGCCGCAGCCGCAGCGCGCGCAGGCAGTCGGGCGGCGGCAGCGGCGGCAGCA